GTGGCCACTGTACTCCAGTCTGGGCGACAGAGTGAGACTCCGACTCAAAAAAAAAAAAAATGCCCAGATCACTGAACCTCACATGATCTGGAAGGTGGAGCACCCCAGTCTAGCTCCTGTCCCCCTTCCTCTCACCTTGGCAGTACTTGAGGCCGTCTGTGTTATATCCTTCTTGCGTTTTCGGATCAGTCTTCGCCGCCTATGAGTGTGATACATTTTCTCTGCTGCAACCCAGGATTTGGGCTTATTATCGGGGGGAATGGTAATTCCATACTCCCAGCCTGGAACAGAGTTGGTGGAGAGTTACCAGAAAGCGGTGCATTTGCCAGATCGCCAAATAAAAACCTTCGGGAAACATCGAGTCACTCTTTCCGTCCAGGGTGTTCTCGAATCATGACAGAACGCCAGCTCCTTTTCCTTGACCAAACTGGATATGGCCTCCTTCCCTGGCTCCCTTCTCAGAAAGCTTCCCTTGTGGTCACAGGGTTCTCCTTGCCTTTTACACCTCTGGTCATTCACGGTCATTGAGTGCAACAAAGAATAGCGCATCGTTCAAGAGGCAGAGGGGGACAATGGGAGGGGTGTGGGCCGTGTAGTCATAGTTGGGGTTCAAATCCCAGCTCCACCACGTGCTGGCTGTTTTCTAAAAAGTTTCCTGCAAGTTGGTAAAACTGCCAAAAGCCCAATTTCCCTATTATAAAGGTAAAACACACCTTTTGGTGGGGGGAATAGGAGTCTCACTCCATCACCCAGGCTGGAAGGCAGTGGCACAATTACAGCCACCGCAGTCTCGACCTGCTGGGCTCCAGTGATCTTTCCCCCTCAGTCTTCCAAGTAGCTGGAACCACAGGCGTGCACCACCACACCCAGGTAATTTATTTATTTTTGAGTTGGAGTCTCACTCTGTCGCCCAGACTGGAGTGCAGTGGCCGGTCCTGGCCACCACAGCCTCGACCTGCTGGGCTCTGGTGATCCTTCTACCTCAGCCTACCAAGTAGCTGGAACTACAGGCATGTGCTACCATGCCTGGCTAATTTTTTAAAATTTATTGTAGAGATGAGGTCTCACCAACTTGCCCGGGCTGGTCTCGAACCCGCGGGCTCAGGCAATCCACTCACCCCAGCCTCCCAAAGCACAGGATTACAGGCTGAGCCACCGAGCCCGGCTGATTTTTTTGATTTACTGTAGAGACAAGGTATTGCCAAGTTGTCCAGGCTGGTCTTGAAACCCTGGACTCAGGTAATCCTCTTGTCTCTGCCTCCCAAAGTGCTGGATGACATGCGTGAGTCACCACGCCTGGCAAAAATATACCTTTTTATAGCGTTACAGTATATATATATATACTGTGGGCCGTGTAGTCACAGTTGGGGTTCAAATCCCAGCTCCACCACGTGCTGGCTGTTTTCTAAAAAGTTTCCTGCAAGTTGGTAAAATTGCCAAAAGCCCAATTTCCCTATTATAAAGGTAAAATACACCTTTTGGTGGGGGGGAATAGGAGTCTCACTCCATCGCCCAGGTTGGAAGGTAGTGGCACACTTAATATATATACATATTTTTTTTTTGAGTTGGAGTCTCACTCAGTTGTCCAGACTGGAGTGCAGTGGCCGCTCCCGGCTACCGCAGCCTCGACCTGCTGTGCTCTGGCGATCCTTCTGCCTCAGCCTTCCGAGTAGCTGGAACTGCAGGCGCACGCTACCACGCCCAGCTAATTTTTGATTTATTGTAGAGATGAGGTCTGGCCAAGTTGCCCAGGCGGGTCTCGAACCCACAGCCTCAGGCAATCCATTCACCTCGGCCTCCCAAGGCACGGGATTACAGGCTGAGCCACCGAGCCCGGCTCAGTATATATTTTTTAAGTCAGGGTCTCACTCTGTTGCCCACAGTGGAGGAGTACAGTGGCATGATCATGGCTCACTGCAGCCTCCAACTCCTGGGCTCAAATGCCTCAGCCTGCCAAATAGCTGGGACTACAGGTGCACACCACCACACTCAGCTAATTCTTTTTTTTTTTTTAATTGTAGAGATGAGGTCTCACCAAGTTGCCCAGGCAGGTTTCGGACCCGCGGGCTCAAGCAATTCACTCACCTCAGCCTCCCAAAGCGCGGGATTACAGGCTGAGCCACCGAGCCCAGCTTCAGCTAATTCTTTTTAGTTTTCTGTGGAGAACAGATCTCGCTATATTGCTCAGGCTGGTCTCACACTCCTAGGCTCAAGCAATGCTCCTGCCTTGGCCTCCCAAAGTGTTAGGATTACAGGCATGAGCTACTGCACCTGGCCTGGTTATAATATTTCAACACAATCAAAATCATGTCTGAGGCTGGATGCAGTGGCTCACACCTGAAATCCTAGCACTTTGGGAGGCCGAGGCAGAAAGATTGCTTGAGCTCAGGAGTTCAAGACCAGCCTGGGCAACATAACGAGACCATGTCTCAATACAATATCAAAAAATTAGCCAGGCACAGTGGCGTGTGCTTGTAGTCTCAGCTACTCGGGAGTCTGAGGCAGAAGGATCACCTGAGCCCAGTAGGTTGGGGCTTCAGTGAGCTGTGAGCATGCCACTGCACTCCAGCCTGGACAACAGAGTGAGACTCTGACTCAAAAAGAAGAAATGTGCCAGGCTCGGAGGCTCAGCCTGTAATCCCAGCACTTTGGGAGGCTGAGGCAAGAGGATTGCCTGAGCCTGCAGGTTCGAGACCCACCTGGGCAACTTGGTGAGACCTCGTCTCCACAATAAACCAAAAATTAGCTGGGTGTGGTAGCGCCTGTAGTTCTGGCTACTTGGAAGGCTGAGGCGGAAGGATCGCCGGAGCCCAGCAGGTTGAGGCTGCGGTGGCCGGGAACATGCCACTGCCCTCCAGCCTGGGTGACAGAGTGAGACTCCAACTCAAAAAAGAAATGTATGGAAAGTGCTAGGGACATACTTAGCACATGGTTATTGGTTAATCAGTGCTAATAATTATTCTAAGACCTAGTGTTTATTGAGATCAGTATGGAACATATCATCCACACGACATCTTTTGTATTAATGTCAGTTCTTTCTACACTATTTCTTCTCCTAAGAAAAAATTCAATCAAACAATCTCCTTTGACAATTCCAACTGCTATGGTTCCCTTATCTTCAGATTGCTGTTCATAGAAAAAGACAGACAAACTGGGGGCACTGGCTCACACCTGTAATCCCAGCACTTTGGGAGGCAGAGGAGAGAGAATTGCCTGAGCTCACGGGTTTGAGACCAGCCTGGGCAACTTGGCGTGACCTCATCTCTACAATAAATCAAAAAATTAGCCAGGCACGGTGCTGCACGCCTGTAGCCCCAGCTATTTGGAAGGCTGAGGCGGCAGGATCACCTGAGCCCAGCAGGTCGAGGCTGCGGTGACTGTGAGTGTGTCACTGCACTCCAGCCTGGGTGTCAGAGTGAGACTCTGACTCAAAAAAGAAAAAGACAAACACCAATAACAGACATGTCATAGCAATAACATATCAATAACCTGCATTATTATTGAGTAGAATAACTTCTAAGGCTTTTTACAGCTCTCCCTTCTGAGCTGGGGGCCAATGAGTGTGATAGTGCCATGGAATGTTTTTGAATTATTTCAGAGTTGAGGGGTACATGTGAGAATCTGCTACATAAGCAAATTGCATGAAGGTGAGGTCTGGGCTTCCAGTGAGTCTTCTGTGCCCTTGGCAGTGACCATGGTACCCAGTGAGTGGTTGTATGCCTCTTATCTATCCATTCTCCCTCCTTCCTTTAGCAGAGCTCAGGGGGTGCTTCGTTATTGCCATTGGGAAAATCTAGCTGCCTCCCAAATCCCCATCCTGAAACCTCAAGCAGCTCAAAATCGAACCAGCTGGTCTTCTGTCACCTGACACTTTTCACCCTTAAAATCCCCCCACCCAGAACCCGGCTCGGCCCTCAAGAGTTCACATTCGAACAGCTACAGATAGCACCACATGACCCGGCTGCCACCACCCACAGAGGGGAGACCCCTCTCTCCCACGGAACCTTCACTCTGAGGAACCGAGGCCCTGGTGCAGGGCCCCAGCAGGTAACACGCAACCTATTACCTTTCTCGTCCACTGCTCGGTTGATGTCATACACCCAAGCGTCGTCTTCCCATTCCCAACCTGGGGGACAAGTCAGCTCGCTGGGTGATGCTGCTTTATCGCCATTCTTAAAAAAAAAAAAGCAAAGAAGAGAGGTAAGCCCTAGAGTCGCTAAGATGCAATGAAGGGATATGGCTCTTCACACCTCACGAGGGTACACACATGTTGACTTAGACACCACCTTAGAGAGTCACTGGACTTAGAAAAATCTCGAATCTTTCTGTATGCACAATTGCTACATACAGAAATTAGTTGTGTAAACTATCTTTTGTTTCTTTTGTAAGTCAGGGTGTTATTCTTTCTCCCAAATACAGTGGCACGATCACAGTTCACTGAAACCTTGAACTCCTGGGCTCAAGCAATCCTCCCCCCTCAGCCTCCTGAGTAGCTGGGACTATAGGTGTGCACCACCATGCCTGGCTAATTTTTTAAAAATTTTCCGTAGAGACAAGGTCTCACTGTGTTGCCCAGACTGGTCTTGCACTCCTGGGCTCAAGCAATCCTTCTGCCTCAGACTTTCAAAGTGCTGGGATTACAGGCGTGAGCCACCATGTCTGGGGTTGCCTTCTGCTTTTACTATTAGGGAAGAGTATTAGGCTGAACCAAGTGAAACTGCTATCTTGGTAGGTCAAAGTGGCTGAATCTCAGCAATTTCATGTGGTTCAATGTACTGTTATGAAATGGCACAACTATCTTGATGAGTTTATATGGGAAAGAACCCACCAGGGAATGGATAAAACATTCAAGATGCATGTTTTCAAGTATAGGGAAATGCTACTGGTTGTTGGTGATTTTTTTTTTTTTTTTTTTGAGGTGGAGTCTCACTCTGTTGCCCAGACTGGAGTGCAGCGGCATGCTCCCGGCCACCGCAGCCTCACCCTGCTGGGCTCCAGCGATCCTTCCACCTCAGCCTTCCAAGTAGCTGGAACTACAGATGCACACTACCATGCCTGGCTAATTTTCGATTTATTGTAGAGATGAGGTCTCGCCAAGTTGCCTGGGTGGGTCTCGAACCTGCAGGCTCAGGCAATGGTGATGTTAATCATACCCGACTGAGCAAAGTTGATGTGACATATTGATTTATAAAACCGATGGAGAATTATGAAAAGAAAGTTCAGACGCAAAGGAAATAAATGTGGCCCATAACATGTGGAAAAATACTCGGCTTCACTTTAAATTAAGAGAGTGGAAATTGAAATAACAACAGGATACTACTTATTCATGTATTGGCAAAAATCAGAGAGGAATGGGAGGGTGCAGGCAAACAGCCCTCACATACACGGTGCTGGAAATATCACTTTATAAAGCCTCTCTGGATAGCAATTTGGCAGTATTTATCAAAATTGTATATGCGTTTAGACCCTGACCAAACAAATTCAAGGATCTTTCTTACCAATAAATTTTCATAAGTAAAGGAAAAAAAATGTATGTATAAAGATTATCGCCGTCATGGCTGGGCACGGTGGCTCATGACTGCAATCCCAATATTTTGGAAGACTGAGGAGCAGGGACTGCTTGAGCCCAGGAGTTTGAGACCAGCCTACTCAGGAGGTCGAGGTGGAAGAATCACCTGAGCCCAGGAAGTCGAGGCTGTGGTAAATCAGGAACACGGCACTGTGCTCCAGCCTGGGTGACAGAGTGAGACTCTGACTCGGAAAAAAAAGATGTTCACTGTCACATTGCTAATAAAATAAAAACCAAACACTCGGGGGGGGAAAAAAATAGCCTAAATGTTCATAACAGGAAATTAGTTCAATAAATTATAGTAAGGGTCTATAATAAAACACTTCGCAGCCATATCAAAAGATGTCTAAGATATATTACTATAAGAAAAACAGGCTGGGCTCGGTGACTCAGCCTGTCATCCCAGCACTTTGGGAGGCCGAGGCGAGCGGATCGCCTGAGCCCGTGGGTTCGAGACCAGCCTGGGCAATTTGGTGAGACCTCGTCTCTATAATAAATAAAAAATTAGCCTGGCGTGGTGGCGTGCGCCTGGGGTTCCAGCTGCTTGGAAGGCCGAGACGGAAGGATCGCCTGAGCCCAGCGGGTCGAGGCTGCGGTGGCCGTGAGTGTGCCCCTGCACTCCAGCCTGGGTGACAGTGAGACTCCTACTCAAAAAATAATAATGATGATGATTGTGGCACTTGTATGGCTTAAGTGACAAATGGAAGACCATGAGGATATAAGATGCAGCAGGAGAGAGAGTGAAGCCAGGCTTGGGGTCAGTGGGTTCCCAGCAGATCGGACTTCAGAGGTGACAGGAGGGAGCCCTGACTGCCACGGGCCGCTCACCGCATCGGTGTAAGTTTCCTCTGCCGCCTTCCACTCGCCCCCGGGGTAGCGACTCTCATTCTGATAGACTTCATCCGTGAACTCCGTGTGACCCGCATCCGCCTCTGTCAGCAAGCTGCAGGGGAGGGAGGGCTCGGGTTACCCAGAGAGACCCGGTCCCCGGCAGTCCCCGATCACCGCCAAGGGTCGGGAAGCATCGACACCCTGGGAGGGGCACCAGTCCCCGCCTCGCTGTGCCCCTTCTGGTCTGTCCTCCAATTCCTCTGTGCACTAATCACTTCTGACGTCCCTTTGAAGAAAGGGCCTGCTGGAACAATGTGACCAAAATTACAGAGGACTCCACAAATTAGCAAGGAGGCTCATCAAAAATTAGGGAGGGGTCTGGGAGGACAGCGCTTGGGCAGCTTCTAGGGACCCCAGGGAGGACTTCCGTGTTTCTGTTTCAGTTGGGCGCCGTTCGGCTTCTTCTCAGCTAAACTCTTGGCTGGCGGTTCAAAAGGATGGAGAGTCACCCCTTGCATCTTTCCTACTTTGTGAAATGGATGGAGACAGTCTCGTGGTTGGTCTCCGCAACACCGATTGAAGGGAGCAATTTAAGTTTTCTGGAGAGTTCCTGGGTAGACAGTCAAACCAGGTCATCTAAGACTCCAAACTCCATTTGGTCCTTTGAGGAAGCCATGCTGACTCTCCCCCGTGCCAATGTTCCTCTTGGTATTGGAATTATTTTGACAACCCACAGAAGAAAGGACAGAGATTCCCAGTTTACATTTCTGCCAGGTACCCACTCACACGAGGGTTCTTTTTCCTTGACCGTCTCCGCGTCTGTTCCCTGCCACATCCTTGCCTAGAATCAAGCACTGGAAAGGAACCAGGAAGCAAACCGTCCCAACCATTCGTGTAAATCGGGCCCATCTATCACTTCTCCCCGCCCCCGTAAGGAAGGATAAAAGCCCTAGGACCCCAGCCAGCCCTGAAATGCCTTGACCTTCTGTTTTTTCTATCACGATTCTGCCTGCCCTTTCTCTGTCCTCACTAACCTTCCTTCCTCCTGTCCAATTCCAATCCCATCTTCCTTCTCCTCACCAATCTCCCCCAACTCCATCCAAAGCAAACCGTTTGGAGTCAGAAGCAGTCAGGTATGAGCACTGGGTCTGCCGTCAGGCAGGCTCACTTCTCACCCTCCCTAACGCCTGTGGGATTATAAGAAACAAGTGACAGAGACACCAAATTCTAGTTATTGACCTCAACAGCTTGTTTCCTTCAAACTTAAGCTGACATGAGGTGGTGAGAGGAAAAAGCGCTGGTTCTGTTGGTGGAAACATTTAGAAACCAGGCCTTAGGGTTCCCCAGACTCCAGGGGAAGCACGCTTGCCACCTTCTACTCTTTAATATTTTCTTTCTTTTTAATAACAGCTTTAGCGGTTATAATTCACATATCCCACAATTCACGCATTTAATGTACTCTCCCCTGCTTTTTTGCAGAAAAGTATAATTGTTAAGTTTTGGTTGGGTGCCCAGATTAGTCTTGGGTTCCAGCCCCAGCTATATTACATACAAGCTGTGAGCCCTGGACAAGTTACTTAATCTCTCGAGGTCTCACCTTTCTCATCTGCAAAATGGAGACACTGTTACTGTTCATTGGGAGATAATTCTCTGTGAGTCTCTGGTGTTTTTGCATACCTTGCCCCCTGAGGCCTTTGTTATGGGCTATCTTTTTTTTTTTTTAAAGTTGGAGTCTCAATCTGTTGCCCAGGCTGGAGTGCAGTGGCATGCTCACGGCCACTGCAGCCTTGACCTGCTGGGCTTAGACGATCCTTCTGCCTCAGCCTTTCAAGTAGCTGAGACTACAGACATGTACCACCATGCCCAGTTAATTTTTTGATTTATTGTAGAGATGAGGTCTTGCCAAGTTGCCCAGGCTGGTCTCGAACCCGTGGGCTCAGGCAATCCTCTCACCTTGGCCTCCCAAAGTGCTGGGATTATAGACGTGAGTCACTGCACCTGGCCTACGGGCTTTCTTTTCAAGGGTGTTTATATGGGGAACACAAAGATAGTGTCTCTCTCCAGAGCAAAGTGCCAGTCAGCTTACTGCCCATTATAAAAGATTTGGGTTCCCTAACCTCTCTCATAACCCAATTCACTGCCCATGAAAGTGTCATCTATGAGTGGATTGCCTGAGCCCGAGGGTTCGAGACCCGCCTGGGCAACTTGGCGAGACCTCGTCTCTACAATAAATCAAAAGTTAGCCGGGTGTGGTAGCGCGCGCCTGTAGTTCCGGCTACTTGGAAGGCTGAGGCGGAAGGATCGCCGGAGCCCAGCAGGTCGAGGCTGCGGTGGCCGGGAGCGTGCCACTGTCCTCCAGTCTGGGCGACGGAGTGAGACTCCAACTCAAAAAAAAAAAAAGAGAGAGTGTCATCTGGCCCCCTTCATGTCACCCTGTGAGACCTCGCGCTGGAGAGGTGGGATAAACGTTGATGCTCTGGTACTGCTATTGCTGTGGGCAACTGGGTCCTGTTTTTCTAACCCAGGAGTTGTGTGTCTCCTGCTGGTATCCATGAAACTGTGGCAGGCAACTTCGTTAGCTTGCAAGGAGAGTAAAATCTCAGGCCCTTGGTAACTCTTGCCGCTACCTCTCTTGCAGGGCTATGGCCAAGACTGAATAAACGGATGGCAGCGCAAAGTCACACATAAATTCTCAGTAAATGTCAGTTACCAGGTACTTTTTATATGTGTCTGTCTTATTACGGGACATTGATGATATCCTTCAAATTCCTATAAACTTCAATGACCTTACTCCTGCTCAGTGGGTACTATGTAAATATTGTTTTGTTGTTTTTTTGTTTTTGAGTTGGAGTCTCACTCGGTCTCCCAGACTGGAGAGCAGTGGCCGCTCCCGGCCACCGCAGCCTCGACCTGCTGGGCTCCGGCGATCCTTCCGCCTCAGCCTTCCGAGTAGCCGGAATTACAGGCATGCGCTACCATGCCTGGCTGATTTTTTTTTTTTAATTTATTGTAGAGATGAGGTCTCGCTGCCCAGGCGGGTCTCGAACTCGCGGGCTCAGGCAATCCACTCACCTCAGCCTCCCAAAGACGCGGGATTACAGGCTGAGCCACCGAGCCCGGCTATGTAAATATTACTAAGGATGATGATGGAGACAATTCGTTGATCGATTTCACAGATAATGGCAAACTTACCTTCTTTCAGGATCAACAACCCAATCTCCTTCCCATTCCCAGCCTTTTGGAGGCAAGAAGAATTCTCTCTTGAGCTTGATTTTCCCTGTGACATCAGAAAATTTGTGACGTCCCACTAATCCAGAAGTGCCCCATTTTCCAAACATGAGAGCTTGATTTTCATACTATTAAAAAAGAAATACAATTGGGGAAACACCATTAGAGACCATGAAATAAAGCCAGCCCAGAAATTTTCCAGTCCCTCTAAGACTTAGCCTAGACAATCACAGAAAGCAAAAAAGCTGTAAGTTCAGAAGTTAGGGCCTAACAGGTTGCAATTAATTGTGCAACTCTGGATACATCATTTGTCTTTCTGAGACTCAGTGTTCTCATCTGGAAACCGGGGGTAACACTACCTCTCTTAGAGAGTTGTTATGGAGTTCACACGTGCGAATGATTGTGAAAGTTCTTTGTAAATAGTGACGTATCGTGTTAGTTGTTTTTATTATCATTTTGAATGGCTCAAAATAGTTCTCTGAATCTTATCTTTGAAATACCTATAAGACGGGCTCGGTGGCTCAGCCTGTCATCCCGCGCCTTTGGGAGGCTGAGGTGAGTGGATGGCCTGAGCCCGCGGGTTCGAGACCCACCTGGGCAGCGAGACCTCATCTCTACAATAAATCAAAAAATCAGCCGGGCGTGGTAGCACGCGCCTGTAATTCCGGCTACTCGGAAGGCTGAGGCGGAAGGATCGCCGGAGCCCAGCAGGTCGAGGCTGCGGTGGCCGGGAACGGCCACTGCACTCCAGTCTGGGTGACAGAGTGAGACTCCAACTCAAAAAAAAAAAGAAATACCTATAAAAGTCCTCAACATATGCATGTGACAATTTCATAAAGTTTGTTTGCAAGTCTATCTGTCACCCAACCACCCATCCATCCATCCATCCATCTGCCCATCCTTCCATATCCTCCCATCCATCCACCCATCCACACTTTTAAGGAGTGGTGGCTTACTGCACATTTCCCTACAGAAACAATATATACTTAATGGTACACTTCCCAGGGAGTCCATGTCCACAAAGAGCCCATCTGAAACATGAGGGTCCATCAGCACCCAGCCCTTATTGGACTTAAAAGTTTTGAGCCTTAATTCCCCCTGGAGTTTGGCAAGTAGACCAAGACCTTTCTGGAAAACAGATTTAGTGGCAACGGCAGACTGTGGTTCCCAGGGCATTCCTTTCCATGTTAGAATCCACAAATCTACAATGGTCTGCTCTTCACCATCTCAACCGTGAACAGCGGAGACTGGCCAGTATGGTGGGTGGTCCTGTTTGGGTTCAAGCTAGGACCATCTGTCTGTGGATGAGATGATTGACATAAGCCACAGGAAAGTTTTCGGCTGAAGGAAAAGGGAGAGGGCAAGGGCCTGATCAGGAAGTTGGGATCAAGTAGACACAGTCGTTGCTTGGCTCAGATCCTGGTTCTGAGCCTGGAGGGGTGATGAGCTTTAGGCAGACACTAAAGGAACTGTGATCCCAGGGGACTGTGAGACTTGGGGACACATGGCCAGGACACAAAGTGGGGGAGCGAGGAGGCCTTTCTGCTGGAGGTCGGGTCAGCTGTACCTCTCTGATAGAGCTGTTCTAGAATTTCAATGTGTAAATGATTGGGAAAGTGCTCAGGAAGCCAGTGTAGCTCCAGTAAAAATCCAGGCAAGGACCTTGGCATCTATAGGAGGGCATCAGCGGCAGTGGAGACGGGAACCTCAAGTGGCGTGGGGCACTGTGGCCCTTAGCCAGGAGAGGTGGGGCAGGGGAGTAGGAAAAAAGCATTCAGCCGGGCTCGGTGGCTCAGCCTGTAATCCCGCACCCTGGGAGGCTGAGGTGAGTGGATTGCCTGAGCCCGCGGGTTTGAGACCCGCCTGGGCAACTTGGCGAGACCTCATCTCTACAATAAGTCAAAAAAATTAGCCGGGCGTGGTAGCACGCGCCTGTAGTTCCAGCTACTTGGAAGGCTGAGGCAGAAGGATCACCGGAGCCCAGCAGGTTGAGGCTGAGGTGACCGGGAGCAGCCACTGCACTCCAGTCTGGGCAACAGAGTGAGACTCCAACTCAAAAAAACAAAAACAAAAACAAAAAAAATGGAAAAAAGCATTCACGGCCAAGCACATGTGAAGATACTTTGGGGGGAAATTTTGTCGCGAATTAAGTTCATCTATGAAGGCAAGAGCCAGCAAAATTCCCATTATGGTTATTAACACGCCCCTCCTGATTTGTGGACAAGTCACAGAGAAACAGAAATGGGCAGATCGTCTCTCTACATGAGTTGAAGACTCCATGCAGGGAAGGATCTGGAAATGGAAGAGAGTGGCAGGGAGCCCTGGGCTGGCTGGTTGTTGATCGGGACTCGCTTCCCTAGGTTGAGCTCCAGCCACAGAGCAGAGGTCGGGTCAGTGCCAAGAAATCCTGCAGGAAGAAGGAACAGTCTCTCCCTCCGCATGCTCTGATGGCCCCACTCCGCACTGCCCAGCGGACTAGATGTCAACATCCTCCACTCAGGACCTCCCTGGCGGCCTCCAGTGCACCCTCTGTGTATCTCCAATAGCACTTCCAAGCCTGAGCTGTAAGGACTTGTTTGTGTGTGTCTCCCACACATTCTACTGAGGCCCATATCCACCCCTGTTGGAATCACCTCTGGTGCTGATCCCTAACCTAAGCTACAGAGTCAGAATCCACAGGGCGGCCCTGGAGGTCTGCCTGCTTAATAAGAGAGCCAGTTGGACAATCACTGCAATAGATTGTGAGATCCTCGAGGATAAGTCTTGGCTTCACCACCATCTTTAGCATCTGGATCGATGCCAGGCATAAAGCCACCACTTCTTAAAAGCATGGACGGGGCCGGGCTTGGTGGCTCAGTCTGTAATCCCAGCACTTTGGGAGGCTGAGGCGAGTGGACTGCCCGAACCCGCGGGTTGGAGACCCGCCCAGGCAACTTAGCAAGACCTCATCTCTACAATAAATAAATAAATAAAAATCAGCCGGGCGGGATAGCGCGCGCCTGTAGTTCCAGCTACTTGGAAGGCTGAGGTGGAAGGATCACCGGAGCCCAGGGGGTCGAGGCTGGAGTGGCCGCTGCACTCCGGTCTGGGTGACAGAGTGAGACTCCAACTTAAAAAAAAAAAAAAGCATGGATGGACAGATAGATAGATGGAGGATGGAAGGATGGGCAGATGGATGGATGGATGGATGGATGGAGGATGCGTGGATGGGTGGGTGAATAGACAGGTGGATGGATGAACGGATGGAGAGATGGGTGGGTGGATGGATAGATGGAGGATGAACAGATGGAGGGATGAGTAGATGGACAGATGGATGGAAAGTGGATGAATGAGTGGATGGACCAATGGATGGTTGGATAGATAAATTCCGTCATCATGTATTTATTTATTCATTCATTCATTAAATATGTAGAGGTAGCCATTTGCTTTGCTAACGTCTGGTCTAGCCACACGGCTCTTTGAGCCATGGCTACTATGTTTCCTAGCTTTGGTTCCCTCCCTTATCTTGGGGAGGTGAATCGCTTCTCTCTCTCTCTCTCTCTAATTTACTTTCTAAATAAACTATATTTTCCAATCAAAAAAATAAAAATAAATAAATATGTATGGGGAATTATTACATGCCAGGTACTAGTGAATAAAAAGTAAAAAAAAAAAAAAGACTGTCATGGGTTTTCTTGCCTAGCAAGAAGATCAGACCCAGAATCCTGAGCCGGGTGTCAGGTATAGCAGTGGGTAGCACAAATAGATTTATAGATTGGCTAGAATGGATATTGCCTTTTCACGTATTCAAGCATCGAAAGCCTATCTGTAGAATGGAGTTCTCCTGAAAATTGTCAGAAGAGAACAATCTGGTAAATGTAAATCATGAAGTACTTTGAGTTAAAAATGGCATGAACTATCCAACTTCTAGTTAAAGTTTGTGAACATCTCTTTATAAAGGCTTAATTATAATGATACTTGTAATTAAGTGGATTTCAAACTCAGTGAAGGTTTTACAAATTATCACTATTGTTTTTGAAGTATTCAAGTAGCTTTTTTTGTTTGTTTGCCCGTGGACAAACCCATCTAAGTCTTCCCCTAGGTAAGGAATGGGCCTTTGTGGAAGATCCATTAAACCCAGGCAAGCTTATCAAGGTCTGAACATCTCAAGTGTCTCCTTTCCTGGATTGCTGCGCCCGTGTGTGTGTATTCTACTCAGTGTCCCACCAGCAGGCACCAATATGACTATCACTGAACTCTAATTCTGAGAGCTAGAAGGTTACCCATTTTCAGTATTGCTGGTGAGGCTGGGGTGTCACCTCTCGGAATTATCACACAAAAGCATTTGTCACCCTAGTGTGCCCCAATGTTGAAAATAAAATCGCCAAAGGATCTTCTCCCTTCCCTTAGGTTAAGGTCCCATGTATGGGATTTTAGGGCTGTGGCTGTGTGTGGCACGTGAATGTTTTCCCTGAGGGTAGAAAGTAAAAGTACCCCCCACCCCCACCCAGCAAAGAGGAAAAGTTAGTGACATCATTAAATATACCATTTCAGCAAAGACGGTGAAAGCGCCTTCTGCGAAGCTATTAAACTTCTTCTCGACAGCACTCAAACCCAGCCAGATGTTCACTCGCAATTCCACGGGCACTTTCTGCCCGTTGCTTTTCTCCTGTGGATACTGTGAAATGAATAATAGCATGTTATGTTACATCGGTCACAGCATGGACTGTGACATTAACTTAAAGCCCAAAGCAGACTGAATATAATCACTGCTCTCATTAGTCTAATTTTATGTTTGCCTTAGTTAAAGTATGTCCAAATGATCCTACAGCAAAATTAACGGCCAAAGCAGGGGATTTCACTGTCTGTGTGATTTATGGATTCCTGCCTGTCCCTGAGATCATTTCAAGAGGTCCTCAAGGTCAAATCCAAGTTCCTAATAACATTAACGTGGTATTTATTGTCTTCCTTGTATTGTCATTTGCACTGATGGTGCAAAAGCAATGATGAATAAAACTCTGGGCACCGTAGCAGGAACCCAGGCAGTGACCAAACAGTACCCAGCAGTAATAGAAAGTAATAATAAAGGTAATAATGACTACACAAGCAATAAAGAAAACAAAATGCCAGTTTTACTAAAGAATTCTCTTCGTACTCTGTTCCTTGTGCAAAAAAAAAGTTTCTTTTGATCAAGCAATAAAGATTACTAATCTTATTAAATCTCAACCCTTGAGTATGTCTTTTTTTTTTTTTGAGTTGGAGTCTCATTCCGTCGCCCAGGTTGGAGGACAATGGCACGCTCACGCCCACCGCAGCCTTGATCTGCTGGGCTCAGGCAACTCTTCTGCCTCAGCCTTCCAAGTAGCTGGAACCACGGGCGTGTGCCACCACACCCAGCTAATTTTTTGACTGACTGTAGAGATGTGGTCTCGCCAAGTTGCCCAGGCTGGTCTCGAATCCCTGAGCTCAGGCAACCCTCTCACCTTGTCCTCCCCAAAGTGCTGGGATTACAGGCATGAGCCACTGTGCCCGGCCAGAGCACATGTCTTTTTGATATTTTGTATGATAAAATAGAAGCATACAAAAGGCATTCCAGTTGCATATTAGCATTGAATGGTTGTCTTGAGAAAAAGCTCTTGTGCATTTTTTTTAGTTGTAAATGGAACTAGACTTTTTAAAAAAATGAAACACCTTTTTTTAAAAACTTAAAACAGTAATTGACAGACAAATGTGGTTATTCACATTTGAATACGGGGCAGACATTTTCTTGAACATAAACAAAGTGAGGCCGGGCTCAGTGGCTCAGTCTGTAATCCTAGCACTTTGGGAGGCCGAGACGAGTGGATTGCCTGAACCCACGGGTTCGAGACCAGTCCGGAGAAGTTGGCAAGACCTTGTTTCTACAATAAATAAAAAATTAGCTGGGTGTGGTAGTGTGTACCTGTAGTTCTGGCTACTTGGAAGGCTGAGGCAGAAGGATCGTGGGAGCCCAGCAGGTCGAGGCTGCAGTGGCCAGGAGCATGCCACAGCACTCCAGCCTGGGTGACAGAGTGAGACTCCAACTAAAAAAAAAACATAAAACAACAACAACAAAAAAACCAAAGTGAGCCTCGCTCCTCAGGGAAAATAACTGTCTTTATTTGTTGCCAATGACAAAACCAAGTTTTCAAGTAAGAAACAAGAGTTTTAGAAAACTGAATCTGTCACAGTGAGTTTGGTAACAGCTTTCTAATACATAAAGACTTTTCTGATAAGTGATATTAACAAATACAATAAAAAATGTGATACTTTTCCCGGCAGAGTGAGGTGGTTGTAATCCAAGTAATTTGGGAGGCTGAGGTGGGAGGATTGCTTGAGCCCAGGAGTTCAAGACCAACCTGGGCAACATAGTAGGACCTCGTCTCTACCAAAAAAAAAAAAAAAAAAATAGGTGCATGGTGACGTGCACCTGTAGTCCCAGATACTCGGGAGGCTGAGGCAGAAGGATTGCCCGAGCCTAGGAGGTTGAAGTTGTGGTGAGCCGTGATCATGTCACTGTACTGTAGCCTGAGAGGCAGAATGAGACCCTGACTAAAAAAAAAAAAAAAAAAAGTGATATTTTTTCAATATTGTATAATGAAATATGTCAACATTAGGAAGCTCTATAAAACTCAGTGAACCAATATTTTCCAAATGATGATACTTTATGTTACAAAATCATGCATGGATAAATAATTTCCATAAAGTTCCAGAAAAACCGATGGATTTCAATGTAGCCCAGTATGAAGAATTTACTGCTTTGGTTTCAGATTTCACTTTGCAATTAACCTTTTAAAAGCTAACACTTGAGTTTGGTGTTATAGCAAAGATGAATATTCACAATTATCTGAAAAGTTTATTATAATACTCCTCCTTTTTCTAACTAAATGTCTATGTAAGGCCCGATTCTTCTCTTCATATACTTCAGCCAAATAGCTTGTGCTTAAATGCACCAGCAGATATAAAAATCGAGTTCTATTTCGGTTAAGCAAGACATTAAAAAAAGTCTGCAGAGCCGGGCTCGGTGGCTCAGCCTGTAATCCTGCGCCTTTGGGAGGCTGAGGTGAGTGGATTGCCTGAGCCTGCGGGTTCGAGACCCGCCTGGGCAGCGAGACCTCATCTCTACAATAAAATTAAAAAATCAGCCGGGCGTGGGAGCGCATGCCTGTGATTCCGGCTACTCGGAAGGCTGAGGCGGAAGGATCGCCGGAGCCCAGCAGGCGAGGCTGCGGTGGCCGGGAGCAGCCACTGCACTCCAGTCCGGGCGACAGAGTGAGACACCACCTCAAAAAAAAAAAAAAAAAGTCTGCAAAATGAGGGAGCTTTTCTGTGGGAGCTTTCCTGTCCTCTCAATAAATCCTACTTTCTCAAAAAAAAAAAAAAAAAGTCTGCAAAATATAAAACAGAATCACCCTGTTCTCTGATTTTTTTAAAATAGAAAATATAGTTATACTGTATAAAAATGTGTAATTTAGTTAAAACAATTATGTTGACATTTGGAATGTGTAATTTACTTTGATAATGGGTTTATTATTGTTATTGTCAAATGAATTAGTAAATATCTAAAAAAAAATTTCACTTTAATTTCTATTACAGTAAATATTGATAGATAGAACCCACATAAGCCAAAGCTCTCTGGAGTCTTCAATAATTTTTTAAAAGTATAAAGGGTCTCAAGACCAAAAAACCCCAGTGATTTAAATAGTTTCCTAAACTGTATAATGATTAACAAAATTAATAAATATATAAAACATTTTCTTAGAAGCACTTTGCTGTTTATCCACTGAGTTCTAAAACCTAATGCAGAGAAGACGCCTTTGTCTTCTTGCTTGCCTCCCATGAAGTCTTATTTATTAATCAGTGGGCTTTCACCTACTGCTGAGGTTAATTACAATCATGGTTCTATGTTAAGTAAAACTTCTTCTACCAAGAGACACTTGAAAGAAGATAATCACCCTGATTCTATTTACAGCCTCCTGATTAAAGAGCAATGAGTAAATTTTTTATTTTTCTGAGTTGGAGTCTCACTCTGCCACCCAGGCCGGAGCACAGTGGCACACTCACAGCCACCCCAGCGTCGACCTGCTGGGCTCTGGCGAACCTTCCGCTTCAGTCTTCCAAGTAGCTGCAACTACAGGTGGGCACTACCACGCCCGGCTAATTTTTGATTTATTGTAGAGATGGGGTCTTGCCAAGTTGCCCAGGCTGGTCTCAAACCCGCCGGCTCAGACAATCCACTCGCCTCAGCCTCCCAAAGTGCTGGAATTACAGGCTGAGCCGCTGAGCCACTGAACCTGGCCAGGAGTGAGTAAATTTATTACAAGTTAGCAGATGTCTCCTTGTTTGAAGAGCACACTCTCCCCCGATTCTGTCTTATCTCTTTTTAATTTCTATTTCTCTCCCTTAAATCCCAAGAACTCCAGTTGGGGCTGGCCAGGGAGAGGATTTCAAGTCATATTGATGGGGATGATTCTGATTTCTTGTTTTTCGATCCCAGGCCATCCTTTGGTTCCCCACATGCACATGCAGGGCAGTTCTTATTACAGGGTCCTGGGATAGGCTAAGGCAGTGATCCCCCAACCTTCTGGCCTCAGGAACTGGATTCGTGGAAGACAATTTTTCCATAGACCAGGGTGGTGGGGGGGGCGGCGATGGAGAGTGTGCATTCAAACCTCATTGCTAGTGTTTATCTGTATCTGCAGCCGTTCCCCAGTGCAAGCATCACCACCTCAGCTCCACCTCAGATCATCAGGCATCAGATTCTCATAAGGAGCAGGCCACCTAGATCCCTCACATGTGCCATTCACAATAGGGTTTACACTCCTATTAGAATCTAATGCCCCAATAATCTGACAGAAGGTGGAGCTCAGGCAGTAATGTGAGCAATGGGGAGTGGCTGTAAATACAGGTGAAGTTTTATTCTCTCACCTCCCGCTGTGTGGCTCATTCCTAAGAGAGGCTGGAGAGCCCTGGGCTAAGGGTTCTATGAAGCCCCCGAATTCCATGCATACCATTGGATTCACGTGTGATATGCATTCTCCTGGGAGACAGGGCCTGTGGCTTTCATCAAGCACTTAAGAGAGTCCATGGCTCTATAATGCTCAGAATCTCTGCCTTAAGGTAGCAAGTGTCGACATTTTTTCAACTTGAGGACCCATTTGCTTAGAGCCATAGAGTCCACAGACAATAAACACTGCCTTTTCTTTCCTCCAGCACTCACTAGAACGAAGGGAAGAAAGGCATTGCCTTACAGGAAATATTAGAAGTGGAAAATTCATGCCGGAAAACAAAGTACTCACAACGCCATGTTCACACTCATGTCACAAAGACATCCAAGGATGCGTGCTTGACTGAAAGCCTGCCAGCCTCAGATCGCACTCTGAGAATTATCCCCCTGTCCCAAATTCCAGAAAACGCTGGAATGATCACAATCACCCTGGCTCTTCAACGATGAGCAAATTACGTAAAGCAGCGCCCTCAGGAGCACAAGGGTTGCATTTAGACATGTACCTTGAGAAAGATGGTCTGGGTTTTCCCACAGTGCTTGCCAGAGGCGTTCTCGCCGCTGGTGGAGTATAACACCCGGTGAGCGGGAATCCGAGCATAGGCCAGTCTTTTCTCTCCCCGGATCATCCAGATAATGATGTCAGGCATACTGTTCTGCGGCTGGTGCCCGGGATTGGATGAAGAGGAAGCAGAGCTACGGTTAGTCGCAATCAGGGGGACTGAGGACCCTGCAGGCTGGACCCTCGCTCAAGCTCCACTTAGGAAACCAATGTTACGGTTGGGGCTCTGTCCCAAATTCCCAGGCCTCAGACCTCCCAGGACCCCGTTGTGAGCCTGGAGGTCTGGAAGGCAGGCTGTGACTGGCCACAGGGGACAGAGGGAAGCAGAGGGCTAGGTGAACCTGGCAAAAGTCCTACCTACTGTACCCTGACAGATATCTTAGGAAATAGTCTTATCTTGAGTAGCATTTGACGACAGCGGCCAGTCGCAGGCAGAGGGCTACAGGTTGCACAGTGCAGAGCACACACTAAGAGCTGGATAAATGTTGGTCGCCACTAACCTCGGTGGATTAGAACGACAAAGGAGTTAAAGGGACACTTCCTCCTTTCCCTCAGAGAACAGGGAGACCGGTAGTAGTCTAGTAATATGTTTGTAGGTAGAAATACATTTGAGGCCAGGCTCGGTGGCTCAGCTGTAATCCCAGCACTTTGGGAGGCCGAGGCTAGTGGATTGCCTGAGCCCGCAGGTTCAATACCAGCCCGGGCAACTTGGCAAGAACTCGTCTGTACAATAAAATAAAATAAAAATAGGCAGGCGTGGTAGAGCGCGCCTGTAATTCTGGCTACTTGAAAGGCTGAGGTGGAAGGATCACCAGAGTCCAGCAGGTCGACGCTGAGGTGGCCATGAGCATGCCACTGCACTCCAGTCTGGTGTCAGAGTGAGACTCCAACTCAAAAAAAAAAAAAAAAAGAAAGAAATACATTTAAAAAAACATGCAGGCCGGGCTTGGTGGCTCAGCCTGTAATCCCGCGCCAAAAAATCAGCCGTACGTGGTAGTGCATGCCTGTAATTCCGACTACTTGGAAGGCTGAGGCGGAAGGATCGCCCGAGTCCAGCAGGTCAAGGCTGTGGTGGCCGGGAGCGGCCACTGCACTCCAGTCTGGGCGACACAGTGAGACTCCAACTCAAAAAAACAAACAAACAAACAAAAAACAAAACATGCAGGATAACAGGAATTTTTCTTTTCTTTTTCTTTTTTGAGGTGGGGTCTCACTGTGTTGCCCAGGCTGGAGTGCAGTGGCACAGTTACGGCTACCACAATCTCAACCTGCTGGACTCAGGCAGTTCTTCCACCTAAGCCTCCCCAGTAATTGGGACTATAGGCGTTTGCCAGGACACAGAGTGGCTCTGTCTCACAATCCAGTATTTGCCAAATCTGAAATATCAATTTAGTTTTTCTTTTTTGAGTCGGAGTGTCACCTGTCACCCAGGCTGGAGTGCAGTGACACGCTCACAGCCACTGCAGCCTCGACCTGCTGGGCTCAGGTGATCCTTCTAACTCAGCCTTCCAAGTAGCTGGAACTGCAGCCACGTGTGCCACCATGTCCGGCTAATTTTTTGACCTATTGTAGAGAGGAGGTCTTGTCAAGTTGCCTAGGCTGGTCACGAACCCGTGGGCTCAGGCAATCCTCTCACTTCGGCCTCTCAAAGTGCTAGGATTATAGACATGAGTCACTGTGCCCGGCCTTAATTTAGTTTTTAAAAACTTCTTTGTTTTCTACCTGGGTGTGACAGCAAGCGCCTGTCACCTCAGCTACTCAGGAGACTGAGGTGGAAGGATCTCTTGAGCCCGGAAGCTCGAGGCTGTAGTGAGCCGTGACTGTGCCACTGTACTCCAGTCTAGGCAACAGAGCAAGACTCTGTCTCTAAAACAAACAAACAAAAACCCCCAAAGTCTCTTTTTTGTGTGATTATAAAGGAGATATAAGCTCACTACAGAAAACTGTGAAAGTACCAAGGCATACAAAGGAGAAAATAAAAATTACCAGGGCCGGGTGCAGTGGCTCACACCTGAAATTCCAGCATTTTGAGAGGCTGAGGAGAGAGGACTGCCTAGCCCAGGAGTTTGAGACCAGTCTGGGCAACATGGCGAGATGTCATCTCTACAATAAATCAAAAAATTAAGCGGGGAGCGATGGTTTACGCCTGTAATCCCAGTACTTTGGGAGGCGGAGGCTAGAGGATCGCCTGAGTCTGGGGGATCGAGACCTGCCTGGGCAACTTGGCGAGACCTCATTTCTACAATAAATCAAAAAAATCAGCTGGGTGTGGTGGCATGCATCTGTGGTTCCAGCTACTTGGAAGGCTGAGGCAGAAGGACCAACTGAGTCCAGCAGATCGAGGTTGTGGTGGCCATGAGCATGCCACTGCACTCCAGCCTGGGTGACAGAGACTACTACTTTAAAAAAATGTTAAAAAGAATTAAAATTAGCCAGGCATGGTGGCACGCGCCTATAAGTTCCAACTACTCGGGAGGCTGAGGTGGAAGAACTGCCTAAGACCAGCAGGTTGAGGTTGTGGTAGTAACTGTGCCACTGCACTCCAGCCTGGGCAACACAGTGAGACCCCCAACTCAAAAAAGAAAAAGAAAAGAAAAATTACCTGCTATCCTGTGTGTTTTTTTTAAATGTATTTCTTTTTCTTTTTTTTGAGTTGGAGTCTCACTCTGTCGCCCAGACTGGAGTGCAGCGGCCACTCCTGGCCACCGCAGCCTCGACCAGCTGGGCTCCGGTGATCCTTCCGCCTCAGCCTTCCAAGTAGCTGGAACTACTGGTGCGCTACCACGCCTAACTATTTTCTTTTTATTTTGTTGTAGAGACGAGATCTTAACAAGTTGCCCGGGCTGGTCTCGAACCCGCGGGTTCAGGCAATCCACTCGGCCTCGGCCTCCCAAAGTGCTGGGATGACAGGCTGAGCCACCGAGCCCAGTCTCAAATGTATTTCTACCCACAAACACGTTACTAGACTACTACCTGACCCCTGTTCTCTGAGGGAAAGGAGGACGTGTCCCTTTAACCCCTCTGTTGTTCCCATCCACCGAGGTTAGTGGCAGCCAATATTTATTCAGCACTTAGTGTGTGCCCTGCAGTGTGCTAAGCCCTTGCCATTCACCTTCCTTAAACTTTCACACAACAATGCCATGAAGCACTATGTTTATCTCCATTTTACGGATGGGGAAACTAAGACTTAGAGGGATTGAATAACTCGCCCAAGGTCATGCATGGTAAATCCAGGATTTAAATGCAGGTCTCAAGCCAGGCTCGGTGGCTCAGCCTGTCATCCCGCACCTTTGGGAGGCTGAGGTCAGGGGATTGCCTGAGCCCGCGGGTTCGAGACCCGCCTGGGCGGCGAGACCTCATCTCTACAATAAGTCAAAACATCAGCCAGGCGTGGTAGCGCGCGCCTGTCATTCCGGCTACTGGGAAGGCGGAGGCGGAAGGATCGCCGGAGCCCAGCAGGTCGAGGCTGCGGTGGCCGGGAGCGGCCACTGCACTCCAGTCTGGGCAACAGAGGGAGACTCCAACTCGAAAAAAAACCAAAAAACCAACCAAACAAACAAAAACAAATGCAGGTCTTCCCGATCCCAACCAAAGCTGACATTGTCATCCTCTGTACTATATAGTTTTGTTACCACATCATTCAAAATATCCTCTGACAGTACTGTAACAATGACAATGGCCTGTCAACATTTTTTTTTTTTTTTTGAGTTGGAGTCTCACTCTGTCGCCCAGACTGGAGTGCAG